ATACATACATACATACATACATACATACATAAATAACATACATACATACATACATACATACATACATACATACATACATACATTACATACATACATACATACATACATACATACATACATACATACATACATACATACATACATACTTTCATACATACATACATACATACATACATACATACATACATACATACATACATACATACATACATACATACATACATACATACATACATACATACATACATACATTACATACATACATACATACGTACATTACATACATACATACATACATACATACATACATACATAGATACATACATACATACATACATACATACATACATACATACATTACATACATACATACATACATACATACATACATACATACATACATACATACATACATACATACATACATACATACATACATACATACATACATACATACATACATACATACATTACATACATTACATACATACATACATACATACATATGTACATGCATGCATACATACGAGAGAGGGAGAGTGGGGAGAGAGAGGCTTGGGGGGATGGGGAGGAGGGGAGCAGAGGGAGGGAGAGAGGACGACAGAACACACAAGGGAGACAAGGAAGAGAGGAAGAAGGAGAAAAGGGAGAGGACAATGTCGGCGGACTGAGCCGGAGGCTCTAAAGTATTTTGTGTGGAAGAGCCATTGAAAAAGGGCATGGGTTTGGTGAGAGGACATGTGATTCCTTGTGAAAGAAGGCATACAAAAAGACATGTGTTGGGTGAGAGGATGAAAGATTTGCCTGTAGAGAAGAGATATTGAAAAGACATGCTTTGTGTGAGATTATATGTGAATATTCTGTGGAAGGGTCCTTGAAAGAAGGCATGGTTTGTGTGGGAAGATATGTGAGTTTTCTGTGGAAGAGCCTTTGAAAAAAGGCATGTTTTGGTGAGAGGATTTGTGAACCTTTGTGAAAGAAGACATGTTCTGGGTGAGAGGATACAAGTGTTATTGAACAGACATGTTTTGTGTGAGGGATGATATGTGAGTCTTTGTGGAAGAGTCAGTTACAGTGATTCATAAAAGTACAGCAAAAAGTAATATCATGTGAAGCCACCATTTATGTAACACAAACTGTCCCAGCCATAGCCTGGTTTTATTCTACACAGGGTTCACTTTCCTTGGCAACTCTTTCACATATGCTGCCTTTGTTTCATTGAAAGAAGACATGTAAAAAGACATGTGTTGGGTGAGAGGATGTGTGAATTTTCTGTGGAAGAGTCTTTGAAAGAAGGCATGGTTTGCGTGGAAAGATATGTGAGTTATCTCTGTGGAAGAGCCTTTGAAAGAAGGCATGGTTTGTGTGGGAAGATATGTGAATTGAATGTTGTGTGGAAGAGCCATTGAAAAGGGCATGGGTTTGGTGAGAGGATATGTGAATCCTTGTGAAAGAAGGCATGCAAAAAGACATGTTTTGGGTGAGAGGATGAATGAATTGTCTGTAGAGAAGAGTTATTGAAAAGACATGCTTTGTGTGAGATGATATGTGAATATTCTGTGGAAGGGTCTTTGAAAGAAGGCATGGTTTGTGTTGGAAGATATGTGAGTTTTCTGTGGAAGAGCTTTTGAAAAATTTAAAATTTGTTTTGGTGAGTGGCCCCAAACCACCCCTTTGTGATAAGAAGACATGTTCTGGGTGACGTGAGAGGAGAGAAGAGTTATTGAAAAGGACATGTTTTGTGTGAGATGATATGTGAGTCTTTGTGGAAGAGTCAGGGTTACAGTGATTCATAAAAGTAAAGCAAAAGACAGTAAATATCATGCAAAACCACCATTTATGTAACACAAACTGTCCCAGCCATAGCCTGGTTTTAGTCTACACAGGGTTCCCTTTCCTTGGCAACTCTTTCACATATGCTGACTTTGTTTCATTGAAAGAAGACATGTAAAAAGACATGTGTTGGGTGAGAGGATGTGTGAATTTTCTGTGGAAGAGTCTTTGAAAGAAGGCATGCTTTGTGTGGGAAGATGTGAGCTTTCTGTGGAAGAGCCTTTGAAAAATGGCATGTTTTGGTGAGAGGATATGTGAACATTTGTGAAAGAAGACATGTTCTGGGGGAGAGGATATGTGAATTTTCTGTAGAGAGTTATTGAAAACGACATGTTTTGTGTGAGATGATATGTGAGTCTTGGTGGAAGAGTCAGGGTTACAGTGATTCACAAAAGTACAGCAAAAGACAGTAAACATCATGTAAAACCACCATTTATGAAACACAAACTGTCCCAGCCATAGCCTGGCTTTCTTCTACACAGGGTTCACTTTCCTTGGCAGCTCTTTCACATATGCTGCCTTTGTTTCATTGAAAGAAGACATGTAAAAAGACATGTGTTGGGTGAGAGGATGTGTGAATTTTCTGTGGAAGAGTCTTTGAAACAAGGCACGGTTTGTGTGGGAAGATATGTGAATTATCTGTGGAAGAGCCTTTGAAAGAAGGCATGGTTTGTGTGGGAAGATATGTGAATTGAATTTTGTGTGGAAGAGCCATTGAAACAAGGGCATGGGTCACGTCCAAGGCTTCTTTCAAACCTCCTTCCTCTGGTCTCCCAGTGTGCAAATCTGAGCTGTTCTTCCTGCCTGCTTCCGCGGTCAAAGCACATCTGAACCAAGCCCAAACCTGGGTACCTGGGGGGGGGGGGGGGTAGCATATATATATATATATATATATTAGTCATGGTGCGAATAATAACAAAAGGGCTGGTTTTCCAATGCTTTCCGGCTGGGACAGTCCCCAATACAACTGAAAGGGAATCCGACGCGGAAACGAACTGAAGAAAACATTCGGCGGGGGTCCCCCTGAGCTTTTCATGGCCCGTGTCTTGGATCCGTTTGGGTATTGAACCCCTGGGCTTGGTGGGAACCGGCTGGGGAAGCCTGGCTTCCAAACCACCAATCATCCAAACCACAATTCCAAAAAAAAGATCAGGGGAAAGGTAAATGAAGGGTAGGTGAAGGAAAAAACAGCTTACCCCTTGACAAAAACTGCATCTCATACTAGGACATAGATCAAAGCAGTGCCCTCCACACTCGGACGCAACTCTCGCACACTCGCAGGCAGGGTACTCGGAGGGTACTCGCGCAGGAACCATCGAATCATAATTGTATTTTGCAACCTCTTGGATCCAGCTAAGCAATACCTTACCAAAATGGAAGCGGCAAATCAAAACGCGCATCTTCTTCCTTGAATGTGACTCGGATCTGTGTGATCGTTCCTGCACGCCATGAGATCATTGGCCCAAAATTGGAGAAACCAAGACATCCAACTCTTCCGACCAAAGCTGTTCGAATCTTCGAGTTGGTGCCGGAACAGAACACAACATGAGTCCATAGGCCTGTTTTATTTGCTTTCAGCTCCAGTCAAGTCATGTCAGGCTTGATTTTTGGAGATTGAGGCCAAGGGGCGTGCAAGAGCTTGCCCACGTCCACGCCCCTCGCCTGGCCCCGGAGCCTCATGCACCCTTTGAAGAACTCCTCGATCTCCACAGCACCACCTGCCGCAAATGAAGGATGAAGGCCTGGTTGCTGGCATGGAATCTTCAGCTTTCGCCCCATACTGTGGATGGACGAAATCCTGCGCCACCCAAGAAACCCTAGAATGATGATTCCCCTGTAAATACCAACGAACAATGGTTTCAAAGTGGTGCAGGATTTCGTCCATCCACAGATTGCATCTATTGCCCCATTCATCCGCGGACATGAGTACTGTCCGAACTGCCCAACATGTGACCGCGAGAAACGTGTGGCTTGCTGCTTTGCCACCCTCCTAACACCATCCAAAAGGCTGTCTGCGGTTTCTCGTTTAAGGACACCTCTAAATCATAAATCTGAAGCCCTGAGAATGGCGCAGCATTCCCTCCTGCTCTGACCGGCTGCCTTGGTGGGCCAAACGGGCTCCGGGATGCTTTGCCCGGCTCGGAACAACACACAGCTTGAGACAACACACAGTTGTCTCAATGGCAAGATTGCAAACTGTGGCGAACGATTCACGCTCCGTTGCGCGCCTTTGTCCAAATCCAGGAGCTTGAAGAACGACCATGCGTCCCACACGTCAAGCCCCAACGTCTCAAAATACTCCGCGACGGCCGGGGAGTTGATGCCCTCCTCAAACCTGAATGAAAGCTGAAAGCAAAGAGGTGTTCTTGCGTGTTGCCCCTGGAAATGAAATTCAAACCGCTGGCTGGCTTGATTGGGCTTCTCCTCAAGTCAAGCAAGGACAGAACAAGCAACGCAATAATCCAGACCCGATTTCCCTCTTGAACTTGACATGACCCACTCAATCAATACTCGGCCACGAAAAAACTGGAAGGTATGCGAGCAGTCTATGCCCTAAGTGGCAGGTTTACCCCGGAAATGGTTCCACACGAAAGAGACTTTCATCATGGGTGGGGCAAAAGCCAACAGCTCCCGACTGGGGCCAACGCTAGCATTTGACAAACTGGTGCTGAAAGATTTTCACAGGGAGCACAAGTTGCTAATTTTGATCCTAAAACAGTTTCGCTTTGCAGCACGGCCATGAGTTTGAGATGTGGACGAATCCACCGAAAGAAAGTTGAACATGATGCGTGAGACTTATGAGGTGCATGGCAGCCCATCTCAGCGCCTGAAGCCTTGGTGCAAGTTGCGGCAACCGCTGTTCAATCTCAAGCTTCGCGTTCCTGGTTACAGTAGACGTCCGCAAAAAAAACAGTCCTATCCGGAAATCCTCTGTTTGTATCTGGTATTTCGCAAACAACAGGAAACAACTACAACTAGTTCGCAGCCACGCTCAAAACTCAGTTCTGGTTGCATCCATGTCTGGGAGGCCGGCATTGCGTATGTGATAACCCCGGTCTTGTCCGCACCCAGCTTGCTGAACAGCGCCTTGATCTTTTCCACGTGCGCCTGCCGAGCAAAACATGTACATATATCTGTCAAAGCGCCAGCAAAAACAACTACCAAAACCACAGCCACAGCCAAAGTCACACGCACAGCCGTTGCACGGCAACAAACAACAATCCACCACCAACAGCTGCACAAAAAACGGAAACAGAAACACAAGCAGCAGCCGCAGCAGCAGCAGAAGCAGCAACAGCAATAGCAACAACAACAAGCATGCATGCATGCATGCATGCATGCAAGCAAGCAAGCAAGCAAGCAAGCAAGCAAGCAAGCAAGCCAGCGGGCGAGCGAGCGAGCGAGCGCAAAGCAAAGCAAAGCAAAGCAAAGCAAAGCAAAGCAAAGCAAAGCAAGCAAGCCAGCCAGCCACCCACCAATCAACCAGCCAAGCCACAAACCCCAACTGCGCAACCACACAAACGTCCAACCGCCCAACACAAACGTCCAACCGCCCAACCGTCTAAACACCCAACCATCCAACCACCCTATCACCCAATCAGCCAACCAGCTAAGCACACAACCAGTCGACAAACCAACCAGCCAAGCAGGCACTCAAACAATGACAAGAACCAAAAACAGCACTTGTTGCTGAAGGTGACCTACTGGGAACGCTCGCAGCTATGGCTGTCTGCCGACTTCAAAATCCCTGAACACGCAGCGCGCCGAATGTCTGCCACGTGACCACTTGCTGGCTGAAGCTGGGAACAAAAACGAAACCGATAGACCGGCAGAACCTCACAAATGCCAGCGGTGGTCATACGCAGGCGCGACAAGTTGAACTCGTTGGCAGCAAAGCAATGACATGCGATGAGCATTCCTCAACAAACAACATTCACATGTCACAGGCCGTGGTGAGCATCACATGTTCAATCATCGTCTGGTAGGTCTGCTTTGGTGATATGACTGTGCAAAGGGTCTCGTTTTTGCATGCCAATTGTTATGGTTGTTGCAATTTACGTGCACCGCCTCCTTGTTGGCCAACATGGCGTGGACCACGTTGGCATGGTCGTTCTGGGCACTATCAATCGCTGACTGACAGAACACACCAGTTACCTCAGCCGCGCATCAAGAAGACATGCATCGGCAAGGAGGCAAGACCTAGGTCCTTGGATTGAAGAAACAGGAGTTAAGAAGTGTTTCAGCTGTTGTTGCCATCGTTGTAGTCACGCCCATCTTCAGGTATGTTTTATGCTCGCGTTCATTTTCATGTGGCTAATCATCAATGCCAACACCATTGTCTATTGCCACAGTGACTGCACCAAGTCAGTGTTGTCGTCGTCGTCTTCGTCTTCGTCGTCGCCGTTGCAACCATCACCAACATGATCATCATCGTCTCCGTCGTCATCATCGGTGCCGACATCATCATCATCATCATCATCATCATCATCATCATCATCATCATCATCATCATCATCATCATCATCATCATCATCATCATCATCATCATCATTTCATCATGTCATCATGTCATCATTTCATCATTTCATCATTTCATCATTTCATCATCATCATCATCATCATCATCATCATCATCATCATCATAGTCGTGGTCATCATCATCATCATCGTCATCGTCGTCCTCCTCCTCCTCCTCATCATCATCATCATCATCGCCATCACTGACACCGTCACCATCACCGTCGTCATCGTCTTCGTCATCACCATCACTATTCAGGGGAAGCAATCGCTGCAACATGCAATAATCGAATTGGGTGGTCGCAACTGCGCTGCAACACAATCCTTAACAAGCGTAGGCCTCAAAGCGTCCAAGAAAATTCGGATCTGACAAGTTCCCACCAACCGGCGCACAGCTTGCTGGTCATTGCAGGCAGGCGGCCACATTGAGGACCGCAAAGTATGTGAAAGACACCTGGGTTGCAGAAGTGGTTTTGTCGCGGTCTTTGCTAGTTGCCAAACAACGCATGCACAAACATAATTCCACATATTTCCCCTTTGAACATCACCTACCAAAGGGGACCGCTTTAAACTGGCCCCCCAAAAAGGCGATGCTTAAACCACCGCAAAGGGGAATACAGGGAGCCCTGAACAAAACACACATTGAAATGATGCCAAAGCAAAACAGGCAGACTAAAAGTCACCAATCAACACATGTGGCAGCAAAAAAATGACCATAGTTGAGCCCCTGCCTTTCAACAAATGAAGCGTGCATCCATTCCCATACCCTCTTTTGCAGTATAGAGAAGGAGTGTGCATCCGAAGGGGTACCTTTTTCATATATGTCCAATGGTGATTCCCATGAAACCTCTCTTAAATATACATATCCATATGCATATTATATAGTTGAATGTGTATATATATATACACATATATTTAGATATACATATATTCGCTCAGCTGTTTATTCATTTATCTATACACCGCAGGCATCCAAAGGTGGGTCAGTAGGCTGTCAGATGTGTCTGCACGTATGAGCTTTTAACAAGGGGATCTATTCACAGGTGCAAAGGGTGCTTTCCACGCATGTCCATGATAGTCCTAAAAACGCGTTGACTCTCTCATGTTGAAGCTCGAATCCAGCAAGGCTTCAAAGTACATAATGTCTGTATACATATAAGCATTTACATATATGTATTAATTTATATATATATATATATGTATATATATATATATATATTTACATTCATATATACAGTATACATATTTGTTGAGGATCGTGAATTCCAAAATGCTTCAAAGTGTTTCGAAGCATTCGGGCCTAGAGCTGCACTGGATTCAAGATTCGAAACGAGAGTTGGCCAACAAATGCGTACCCCAAAGGCGAAGGGTCCAAATGGTGAGCCGCTACTTGGAAGGAACAAGACTCAATTTATTACTATTGAAAACGCTTGTGGACTCGAGAAAATGCAAGATTCCAGATGCTCAGGTTGCCCATGTCTAATGCTGATTCCAAATGTTGAATCCAAGCCTTGTACAGGAAAAACCGCCTTCATGCGCTGTAAAGCTTTTTGCGTGGAGCGTTGCTGGATTCAACATTCAATTGAGCCCTGGGAATCTTGAAAGTTGAATCCCAAAAGTGCATCAACGCTCTTGCGTTCACGCGCTTTAAAGAGAGTTTTGTGAGGATACGGCTGCAGTCAAATGTGCAAATGCTTGGCCCTTAGATGCTCGAACTTTGGGTGCCCAAAAAAGAGGTGAACATCACCGAGCAACAATGCAAATTTTGTGCAATGCTACTCTCCAATTTGTGTGTACCACAGCACACGGGCACAAGTTGCTCAAGGTGTGCCCTTCAAAACGGGGAGTTGCCAACCTAGACGTGCGCATGTCTTTCTTTCAAACAAAACTCTTGCATATCATGATGTTTTTGGACTTTCAGGCGCCCAACGGTCTTCAAGAGCTCCGTCCCTGAAGGCTTGGTGCAACGAGCCGTAAGATTGGTGGCCAAAACGAAGACATGACCCCAGTGGCCAGTCTAATGCGTCTGGGTGCGTAGAACAGCAGCACAAAGACCCACAGGACTGAGATCGCCTGCACGCTCCCCAAATTGGGTGGCTCTCTCAAATCCCAGTTGCCAGTGGCTCAAAACACCGGTACCAAAATGGAAGCCTGGTAAGTGGAAACATGGACCAAAACCCGCGTAACCCCTCCTGTTTAGTTTTGAGCCACCCCCAGTTGAGTGCAACCTAGCATAAGACCAATGTCCGTTCCATGGGTCATGTGTGGTTGTTGTCAATGTGCCTGGATAGGTATGTGCATCCATGCTGCGGGGCTTGTTACCCCCTTAACAGCTTAGAGACACTACCAGGAAACTCTGAGAGGGATGATGTTTGCAAGTCCAGGCCCCATAGCACTGCTTTTGGCCAGTGCGGAGTGTGTGGACTTGACCCTTTGAACTGAGTTTCAAATAGCCCAGAGTTGTTATTTTATAGTTTTTCCTGACCTCTTTTTGGTTCTCGTCTCCAACAACTGGCTATACCAGCTATCAATCAATCCCCTTTCCGCTCCCCAGTTTATCATGGACCCCCCCACACAAAATCACAACTCTTGCAGAGGAATCTCCTTGAGGGAGGTGCCAGCTACCCTCTTTCTCTGCTTGCAAGAAGGCACCGCGCTTGGACTCAGCGGGTGCCTGCAGTGGAGACACCAGCTCCTCCCAGCTCACCCCTCGGGTCACATGGCGTCATGGGACGCGAAGTGCGGTGACGCCAATTAAGGCCTCAGAAGGCCTAAGAAGGCTAGGTGAAACAAAGGGACACCTTGTTGGGGTTCACCATGTTTACCGGGAACCAACCGAACTAAAGAAACAACGTGCGCGGCTGAACAACAAGAAGTGGAACCCACAAACCAAATGCAACGCATTTTTGTCTCTGGGTGAAGTGCGTTTGTACCATTGCCACATCAAATGCATCGCGTCTGCTGAAAACACAAAAACCAACACAAGAGATTGCATCAAGACAGGGCACTCCTCAGGCCCTCAGAGTGGTTTCCCCAGTCAACGTCCAAAAGCTGTGGTTAAGGCTGGGCAGTATGAATAACCTCACTTGTCCAAAAGGACGTTGATAGCAAAAACTATGTGACCTTCATGGACAAACAATTTACCAATGAAAGACCGGCATTGGGCTTCCAACATGACTGAGCTTCCGGAGGTCAAGAGAGAAACAAATAGACACTAAATAGCCCAAATTTCAGCACCGTGAAACGATGGACCAACATGGTCGAGACATGTCGAGACGTCTTTCAGCGAGGAATGTGAATGGTGAACGCTTGACAGCGCTGCAACCGATGCTTCTTCACGTTGCAGCTGCAACAATGCCTAGTGGACAGCAGGTCAGCTCGCCTTCTTCCAAGGCGAGTTTCCTTCTGCCTGGACCCTCGTTTGATTGGTTATTGAACAAACGTGCGGAGAGGGACCCCACAAATTGCAAGACAATCTTCCAACATAAATCGAAGTCGCGGCCCTTTGAACGTCTACACAGGGAGTTAATGTCCTGGGAAAGACAAACATGGCCTTCCAGGACCCAAGGTTCCATGTCAATAGGATATACTTTTATTTAGTTGATTCATGGTGTCGCATTTACTCGCCCTCGACTCAGCCGGGCGTCCACCAGAGATGCTCATAAAGAGGCTCAGCATGGTCACCGGAAGGGAGCTGAAGTATTTCCTCCGCGGGTCGGAACCAAATTTCCGAGGACTCTCACTCTTGAGGGACCCTTCTTTTGGATTGGGGAGTACACAAAAAGAAGCCTGAGATGTCGACGCGGTCTGCGACCTTGAGAGGTTGATCCCAAAGGGCGGCCACTAATCACAGGCTGAAAACTGTCTTTCTTCAAAAGGGCAGCTCCTTAGGTAACTCGGTAGGAGAACCAGGTACCTCTGCCTTTCAAGCTTGCTTTTGCAACTGTGGTGCCTTTGCCTTGACGAAAGGAAGGCTTTGATCGCAAGGAGTAGGCGAACAAAATACGGCAAAGCATTTTGAGCGACGTCTCAAAATTGCGCGCGCAAAAGCAACAAATGCTTGGACCCAACTACCGCGAAGAAAAAACACACTTTCCGAATGAGAGCTTTTCTGTACACATCGTGCATTCAGGCCTATCTTCCCATGACTTGTAACCAAGTGTGGCAACTAAATCAGAGCTGCCTGCCCCAAGGGCTTCCGGTGCTCTCTCTCTCTCTCTCTGCCATCGCGAAATGCCTTGGGCTACACTGTTGCCGCCCGCTGGGCAAGCAAAGGTTCACACACTCAACTAGTTGCAAATACTTGAGCAAACACTTGACAAACAGCTCCTCGCCAGCAGAGCGGGCAGGACGAGCAAACAACGCAAACAACAGAATGGCCAATGGCAAGCAATTCTCACGGCACGCACCAGGTCACTTGTGCATCCTTGCACTTTTCACGGAAGGCAAACTCAACAGGCTGAAAGATCAGCTTTCAAAGATATAAGCCTTATGGTGGTGCGAATGCCATGCTTACGATCTCAGCCATGGTACGTTGTGGCCATGAAAAACGTGATTGGCTGACACCTGATGACTTACATCGTGGGAGTATAAGGGTTCGTGCCTTTGTATTTTTTGAGGGTACAGAAAAACCATGGATGCCCCAACTGTGACTTTAGTTGGTGGATCCGGAGCTGGATTCTGCATATTCCAAACAAGCCTGCCACTGGATGCTTGTTCAGAGTCCGGGTCAGGCTAGTGAGAGTCATTTCAGCGCAAGGCTGAAGTTGCTTGACGCAAATAGCCAAGTTTCTGGGCATACTCAAGCTCGTCGGCGCCCAAGGCTGGAGACCTGGTGAAGCTTCGCTCCGAGTTTCCGCTGGCGAAAGCACCATGAAGGGGACTGCTTAAGCCAAGGCGAACATCCGGCTGGAGTGTTGGAGCCACTGATGCTCTTGCCAGAGACCCCACAAGTCCCACGTGCCCAAGGAACCTGGAGTTTGGTACCTGGACTCAACATGTACCAAAGCGAAATCCTACCGGTGGTGAAAAGGTTGATTCGTGCTAGACGGCAGGCTAAGGCTGGGATCCGATCGCTATGGGAATGCCCCACTCAGTTTGATGCCCACAAGCCCCTTGTCAGACGTTGCCATTCACACAAGTCTGCACAACCCGCAAACAAGACACCCCTCAAATGACCCACCACGGGAAAGCGTGTGTTCCTACCGCACTTCGAAAGCCCGTGGCATGTGAGACGGAAACAAGGAAAGATGGGGTAGCGATGGCAACCATAGACTACCCCGTGGCTGTTGCAGTGCCAAGACAACAATTTAAACATGGTTTCTACCACTCCCAACCCGCTACCGAGGGAAAGCAGCATACGTACCCTTGATACCGTGGCTATATCACAATCTGTAGCGGGTGCGTATCAAAGTCGAATTGCTTGGTCGTAAGAAAACATACTAAACGGAAGTAAACTCAACACCTGATCCTGCAGCTGGGCGGCATCGAGCAAAGCAACGTGAAAGCTGAAACGTGAAAGGCTTGCGCGTCTCGGCATTGCTTCCAAGTTGACCTTTCCAACATATTAAAAGACCCATTGTGAAATAACGTATGCGTCTGCTTTTGCTGTGCATGGTTGCATGTGTCTGTGTGCGCGTGTGCGTGTCCGTGCGTGATTAGTGCGTGCGTGCGTGTGTGCGTGCGTGCGTGCGTGCGTGGGTGGGTGGGTGGGTGGGTGGGTGGGTGGGTGGGTGGGTGTGTGTGTGTGCGTTTGCGTCTCTGTCTGTGTCTGTGTCTGTGTTTGTGGAGGTGTGCGTGCGCGCGAGAATCTGCATGTGTGTCGTTATGTTTCCGATCTGTGTTGTTACAAGTTGTGCTTGTGTGGAAACGTACACGTGTATATCTGTAAGACGTGGCTGTTTACGAGCAGTGCATACGTGTGCTGCTTTGCGTTGTTTGCTGAAATTCATGTGATGGTGCATGTGTTGAGCTAATACCTGCGTGCTTGTGCGCACACTCTGTGACTATGCGCATGTGTGTGTGTTCAATGTGTTTCATCATGTTGAATTTATTTGTCCGCCAAACTCAGCCTGCCATTTGGGAATATGAACTTCCATTCCCCTCATGACAAGGTGCAGCGGATCGGCGATGTAGTTGTTCACCGCTTG